TGTAGAGATGGCATACGAGCAAACCCTTGTACAAACTGAGCCGCTTAGCCCTACGACAGATCAGCTCGCTAAGAGGTTGAGCAGAGAACTGAAGATTCGGCGATCGAACGAACCTAAAGTATTCAGGTCTCCGAGTGCCAGAAAAATCGGAAGCTTGAGACGCAGATCCCGGGAACGCGACCAGGTAAGATTAAATAGAAATCAGTCTTGGTGCGTGACGAGTTCCGCGTCTAAGTCTGCCCTCCGCAGGGGAAGACCTAATACCGTTCAAACGGGTTTGCCGCAGCCTACGACGGCTGAAGAACCTCCGAAGACACGTTCGAATTCGTTTCATGGTAACAATTCGCCGTCCGTAGTGGCGAATTCGATGACATCGAACTCCTCTACGGTGAGTTGGAAAAGTGCGCAAGGATTTTTCAATGCTACGCCTATGTCTAACCCTGGAGTCACTGAAAACTGTAGGGCGTCGCTGGCGAAGTTGCGCAGTCAAAACGCTGGGATGGTGCTGGCCAAGGCGAAATTGTTTGATAACCTAGTGGATTCAGAGTGTAGTAGCAACAAATCTGGAGAATCCAATTGCGTATCATCTCAAACACGTAGCACCAAAATCGGGGCTCCACGAGTTCTTGACAAGAACAGCAGGATTCAGTCGTTAAAAATGGAGGAGCGCAGAAAGAAGGCTATTTCACCTAGAAAGAGAAATTGCAACAAAAGTCCACAAATTCGAATGCAACGTATCAGCGTGAAGGCGCCACCACCTCAAGAATGTAAGTAAACTTAATTAGCGAATGAACATTATAAGATTTGTTCTTCACATTTCAGTTAAGTTTAATAATTTTAATAGAATATCTTTAAAGTACCTTGTAATGTGTAAATAAGTTGCTTCTCAGTAAATAGTCTATTTTATTACGACTTTGAACCGTGTTTTATACCACTACTATTTTATATAACTACATTCTCTAATTGCATCTATTATAATTGCATTTGTAGATAATATGGATAGGACAATATTGAGAGACTGCAATCGCCGTGGGTCAGAACCAACGACATCCCCAAAATGTGTAACACCCAGAAATGCACCCCAAATCAAGAGGACTTTAAACCCGAAGTCGCCACGCCGAATTTGCAGGACACCGGTTTCCGAAGCTAAACAAACACCGCTCAAAGTAATCGCAACGACGAGGAACACGCATCACTACTAAATTCCTTCTAGCATTCTTATTTTGCTATGCAAGTAGATAGCCCAAAATTCTGCTTTACCAGAGCATGCGAGCATAATTTCGAAAATTTTATTTGATTTTTATAGCAAGGACTTGAATTGATTAAAATTTAACGTTGACTCTATATCGAAATTATGTTCGCATTGTCTCCGAGTATGAAGTAAGGACATAAAGAAAAAAAGAAAGAATTAAGTGGCCATAGTTTATATTTCTTTATATATCGATAGATGTTTTTTTTTATATTTTCGTATATCCGAGAGTGCTGTGCAAACTATGTACATACGCATTGTTAAAGAAAGTTAGAGAGAGAGAGAGAGAGAAAACGAAGTAATCGAATGTTTTATAATTATTATTTTATTTAATAAGTTTTATTGTTTTATCAATTGAATAATTGAAAACAATTACTGTGACTTTTTCCTAGAATATTGTTTTTATACTGTGCTTTTATTTTTTCATATTTTATAATGTAATTATTTGCTTTTGAGTCTTAATAAAAAATGAAGATGTTTATAACAAGGTATATACAATAAATTTATTTTGTAAATTAATCTTTTTTAGGTGCAAAACAAAATAAATAACACGTACCGTATTTGTTAATATCACAAATATGAGTGTATTATCAATATTGATAGGAATATGTAATTGCGTTTGCGATTTGAATTGCACCAATCACGACGTTCCACGCATGTAACTACCATGATTGCTCTCTAGATGTCACTGTTGTTATGACGTTTCTTAGTTGATTTTTTGACATTTAGTGTCATTTAGTGTAAGATAACATATGAGGAATACAAGCGAACGAATGTTGAGTTTGTTAATACTCTTTGTGGCATGTTAAACTGATTGAACTTCAAGTGCTGATAAACAAAAACCAGGCGCCAAGATGCGATCCGTCGGATTTTCGTTACTTGCCCTATGCATGACCGTTTCGGTCGTTGCTAATGCTTACTACCAGAAAAAACAGTTCTATCCTTCTGTAGTATATATTACTAAGTCTAATCCTAGCATGGCTGTAAGTAGTTTATCCCAATAAAAAAACAGTGTATATTATTAATTTTCTTTAATATTGTAGGTCATTTATCTGCAAGCTTTCATATGTGTACTTTTGGCTGGCCGTGTCATGAGAAAAGTATTCTTTGGACAATTGAGGACTACAGAGTTTGAGGTAGTTTGCATAAAGTATGAATCAGAGATGCTTAGAAAGATGGCTTTTTTTTTCAGCATTTGATGGAGAGGTCCTGGTATGCCATCACAGAAACCTGTCTGGCTTTCACTGTTTTTCGAGATGATTTTAATCCCAAGTTTGTATCTCTTTTTACACTGCTGTTGTTCCTGAAATCTTTCCATTGGTTGGCGGAAGACAGAGTTGACTATGTGAGGATTTTTATTCATCCCCTGTTGGGAATACATAAATGATACTAAATGATAATTATTATTATTTCAGATGGAAAGAAGTCCAGTTATAAGTTATATATTCCATTTACGCGTTATGGCACTGCTTTTACTTCTTGGTTCACTTGATATATATTTTGTGGAGCATGCCTACCAACTGACAGTATCCAAAGGGGCTTCTGTCCAGTTAGTCTTCGGATTTGAATATGCCATATTGTTTACCATGGTTATTAACATCATAATCAAGTACACTCTGTATACAGTCGATTTACATAGTGAAACACCATGGGACAATAAGGCAGTATTTCTGCTCTACACTGAGTTAGTAATGGGTTTGATCAAGGTTATTCTCTACATCGCTTTCATGTTCATAATGGTCCGTATCTATACGTTGCCATTATTTGCTTTAAGACCGATGTATTATACAATAAGGAATTTCAAAAAGGCTTTCAATGATGTAATTTTGTCCAGAAGGGCTATCCACAATATGAACACTCTTTATCCAGATGCTACATTAGAGGAATTGCAAGCTGGAGATAACGTTTGCATTATTTGCCGTGAAGAAATGACGGTGGCTTCAAAGAAACTGCCCTGCAATCACATTTTTCACGCTTCTTGTTTGAGGTCTTGGTTCCAGAGGCAACAGACCTGCCCAACCTGCAGATTGAATATTCTGAGAACACCCACTGCAGAGCAGAGGCCAGATCCGCAGAGAGCTCCAAGACCAGCAGTGCCAAATTTGCGCAATGTGAATTTCAATATTCCTAATCCATTTTTGATGTTAAATAACAATTTACGACAACAGGCGGCTGGACTTATCAATCAACAGCAACAGCAGCCGCAAATGCCTGGTGGTATTCCGGTACCACAACCGAACCTCGCTGGTCACCATGGTATTCCTCCACCGGGTATGATTCCATTCATCCCAGTTCCTCCGATAAGATTTATGCAGCCACCGCCTATGCCTCCACCGAATCTATCCAACTTGTCTCCTGAACAGTTGCGTCGTATGGAAGGTCGTGAACGGGAGAACGTTGAGGCCAGGATCCAGTGGCTCAGAAATATTCAAGTAAAGAGATTTTACATTTTCTAATTATTGTTTCCATAAAGTTAATTGCAACACTTGAAGAATGTTTAGTAATTATAAAATATTTTATAGTTGATGCTGGATGCTGCAAATATGATGTTCCAACAATACAATACGGCAGCCGCTATCTCGATGTCCATGCAAAATAACATGGCAGAACGCGCTGACGCTACACCTGGTACTAGTTCTGCTGGGACATCAACCTCCACTCAGGCTTCTCCACCAACCGCATCATCAGAGCCTTCCGAAGGTGGACCTTCAGCTTCTGCTAGCGCATCTTCAACTCCTTCAGTAGCCACATCTTCTGCTACAGCGTCATCTGTATCTGCTTCGTCAGTTGCAACCTCAGCCCCTGTTGCAGCATCGACTTCATCTGCTTCAGCAGCCGGATCGTTGACTCCTCCAGTAGTGAATTCCGCAACTGATGCAGCTGCTGCTTCATCTTCCTCGGTGCACAATGTAAAAGAGTCTATGCCAAGTCCCTCTCGTAATATAACAGTACCGGTCGATAAGAAAAGCGTAAATATATCGGAGGATATCAGCAGCAGCACGCATTGCCCGGAGACTGTTGGTAAGGTATCAGACACGTGTCCCACTACATCAAAGACACTCGAGCCTGCAGATATTTCATCTTCCTCGTCTCAACAACCAGGGGCATCTTCTTCTACCGAGGAGTCGTCTCCAAAGACAGGAGATATGGAGGTGCGAAGACGTAGACTTGAAAAATTCCAATAAAATAAAACAGTAAGAACCACACTCTAAAACGTTGAAAATCACTTCTTATTATTGATCATTTTTAATCTACTGTATTCGTTTTTTTTTTCTTGTTTCTTAAATTACTTCTATTTTCTTTTTAATACGGACTTAAAGATTAAATTATTTTTATATCACCGTTGCTTTTGTTTCGTTTCAGTTTATTTATGAAAGATGTTTACAATGTAATATTTAATTAATGGATTAGTTTCGTTTTTTTTTTCCAGACTGGATTGGTATCAGTTTTCAAATGAAAGAAATAAGAAAAAGTGAAATTATATTAATTACCATTGTGATATAGTTTAAAACAGGGCACATCACCCTGGGTATGTGTGTGTGTGGAAGAACAAGAAATCCTAACAAATATATTCATTTTCCTTTTAATTTTGTATACAATAATTGTATTATTATTATGAGCTTAATTTCGAAGCTACAACTTTTTAATCAATTGTCGAGTCGAGACAATCCCACTGATGATTGATGAATCGGCGGATCGAGGAAGTGGATTACATTCGTTCATAAATATATTAACTTGGGATCGATTTGGTCCAACATATGTGTTTTATTTTATTACTCTATATAAAAATATAAGTATATCTGTATATGGCTATTAGACAACCGTAATAAAATATTTATAAACGAATTTAAAGATTGTAAGAGAATATAGGTATCGGAAATAAAGTATAATTGGTGTCATTTCTTTGGTATTTGTTAATTTTTAAAACTCCTTTCAGAAACTATAACGATTCTTAGAAATATAGCTTATTCTGATGATTGTATATTTTGATCATGGTTTACTTCAGCGTTATCCAAACTGTGAGGCAAGCTTCCCTGGGGAGGCGTCGACTAGTCTAAGGGGAGGAATATTAGTAGCAGTGAGCAATTTTCCAAATATCTGCTAAAGTATAGATACATTCCTGTGCTCTTATCCATATTGCTGTAATACGCGTTCAAAGTTGAAAAACTGAAAAATAACGTTCGAAAAAATAGTGTTTTTACATTTCATTGATTTACTCGAAAACTATATTAGATATAATGAATCCAATGTATCCATATGAAATCTGAATGTTTGTGGAATCCAACAAGTATAGATAAATTTCTGTGCTCTTATCCATATTGCTGTAATACGCGTTCATTTTATGAAATGGAGGGGTGTGGGGAGGCGCCAAATGATTACATACTTTTGAGGGAGGCGTAGTAACATCAAGTTTGGAAACCACTGGTTTACGTTGACAATGAATTGGTAAAGCATAGTATTAACAAAAAAAAACAATTAATCATTGACAGAAAATATGAGTTGATTGGGAAATATGGAAATGAAAATACTTATTGTAAATAAAACATGTATATTTAATTATTTTAAATCAAATAAATTTGCATAAATCTGTACAGTCACAACAAATAGTGATTTGTGAGTGTGCATTCGACAACAACAATGCCGACTAACATTTCGATTTGAACCATTTTTACTGTTTTACCTTCTCTGCCATAAGATATATTAATGATAAACACTTACTCATTCGTTCGCATTATTGTATGTGCATTATAATATTTACATTTAAAAAATCATAGGGATTAATCTTATTCCCTACCTCACATATGTATAATATACATTCATATTTATTCTAGAACGAAAGATCATAATTTATACTATGGATAATTACAATTGCAATTAAAATAAATGCAAAGAAATAATTGTGCTTTAACGAAATTGTATAAAGAAATTAAAATAATATTGGCACATATTCACAAGGGACTTCAACTAAATTTCTTTTTTTTTTGCGATTTTATAGTAATAATAATTTAACTTCTGTCGCGAAGTCATTTAAAATATATATATAATTTGTATAACATATAAAAATCATAACTAAATACATTTATTACAATATTTACGAGATTATGTACAGAATATTAAAAAGCTTTATATTGCGGGTTCGATGCAATCATAAGAAGTCCATGTCGAGGGCGTTGTATAGTGCTGCTATCTCACTGTGACTTGTAATCCTCCAAAAGGGAAAGGTCAATGCTTTGGCTGCTGCCTCTTCATCTTGACCATCACCTATCACCACATAGGTGCACTTCCTTCCAAACCTAGTCACTATTCTTTCGAAACAACTCTCCTTTCCTAAAATTATAAAATAGTGTTATTTGTGACTGGTTCAACAGTTGTTAGGCTGAAATTCGCATACCTATTTTCGTTGCCGAGTAAATGTTATCAATTGGAAAGACTCCTCCAAGTCCAAAGAGCAGCACTTTTGCTAAAGCCGGTACCAGTTGTGTTGTTGTAACGAGTACATTCACGCAATTGCTTCTGGAGTTGATCAACGTTAAACATTTCGTAGCCAACGTTAACCAATTATCAGTTTCCGCTTCGATTTCAGCTCGCAACTGCAGCCATTGTTCTCTTTTCGTAGTTCCCAATAAACCACCAACGCTAAAATGTTTAATAATAAAATGAGTTTTCCAATAATTCTGTAATTTGTGAAATACACTATAACAATCGATAATTACCTATTTCTATAGTTGTTGTATGTGTCTTTGATCTTCCTGTAGCGGAAAGCTAACTTCCTCATCCAATCAACGCCACCTCGAACTCCCGTTGCTAGACACAAGTTTCCACCTCCGCCAGCTGCTGAATGAAAACCATCACTACCGAAATTATAGTTGGACAGGTCCTGGCCATTATCATCCGATGATACATCATCTATGTGAACTTGGTCACAGTCCTAAATGAAAATAACATTACATGAAAATTACTTGTATTTTAATATTTTATTTTGTAGAACAAACCTCAATGTCATTAAAGAAGAAATGGGTGTCAGCCAAATTAAAAACCATCTCCTCCATTCTGAAACCCAGCTGCACAATGCTTTGAGCATCCTGAAACATTTAAAAATTAGTACTTTTTAATGATAGTTGTTTATTATTAATAATAACCTTTTGGTATTTTGATGCATAGCTTCCAGTCAATAAACTATGAAAAATGATGATGGTTTCATCCAAGTCCCAAATGAATACTCTATCTGTGCTGGATTCAGGAGCACTGGGGGATACTGTATTGGTCCTCCTGCCTCGTCCTCTTGTACCCCTGGTCTCAGAACCCAGGCTGCTGCTTGTCGACTCCCTTGACCTCCTTGAACTTGTATCCCCCTTCAATGGGGAAATTGGGCTCTCCACCAATGATACTCCATTTGATGGACTCTCTGAAAAACAATTAAGAATTACTTGGATGAACTCTTAATAGGGAAGCCTTATATTCTCAAATACCTAAGTTTATATACTACTGTTCTTTTTATTCATATAATTATTAAGTATTATTCAAAAGTACACCTTCATCGTCCTCACTTCCACTCGTATCGCTATACGGACACAGCATAATACTACCAGTATTTGTTTGATTTAAACTAGTTTTAAACCGCTGGCAAGTAGCGATTTGCTAACAACTTTAATTAATTAGGTTATGTTTTAGCCGCTGACAGTTCTGTCAAAATGGTGTTAAACTAAGCGCGAGTGCCATCTATTGCATTGCGCATTAAACTAAATTGTATACGACAATTTATGTTTTCAAGCAAAATTTAATTTAAATTTATTAATTACCTGGTAAAGTAGTTGCAGCCAGTTGATAGGTGGATGAAGTGCCGACGCTTCCACTCGAACTGGGTGAACTCACGTATGGTGAGTAGCTTTGGGATGCGTAATAGCTGGAAGTGTACTGAGCAGATTGAGCATCCGTGGGGTATCCTCCGTAGCTTCCGTAATCCTGAACAAAAGATGGAGATGATGAGTATCATTGTATTTTTTGTATGTACTCTGATTACATACCTGAGTTGGGAATCCTTGTGTGAACGAGGAAGAAGGCGGAGTCGTGTACGTGGTGTACGGCGAGTATTGTCCGCATTGTCCGGTGCTTTGGAAAGGAGAGGCCGGTGAAGAGTAAGGGCTGGAAAGATAACTGGAGTTCCCTTTGCAAGCAGGGTTCAGAGACCGCGTGGTTCCTAGTGTCGTATATGGATAGGAAGGAGTGTTATAGAATGACGAGGTGGCGGGGTTCATGTAGGTGGCCGCAGCAGTTGCTGGGTTTGTCGTTCCATAGGCTTGCTGCATGCTAATAAATAATAAGAAAGAAAAAACAAACGTTAGTAAACGTATTTTAGATGTCTCATTCTAGTCTTCGTACCTATTGTAATACTGATGTGCCGAAGTGTACGATTGTGAATAGTCTTTATCGTAGACGGCGCCCAGGTCAACAGCTGCCGTAGCTGCAGTGTAGAAGTTTGATGGATCTTGCGAGAGGGCTGCCACCTCGGAGTCGGCTAATCCGGGACTCCGCAATTCGCTTTTCACGCCGTCCGTCAGGATGGACCATGACGACGGTAAATGTGATGAGCTTATGCAGGAAGTCGCAGTTGGCGTCGAAAGTTGGTTAACGTTTAGGTGATTCGTGGATAACGATGCACTAACTGGAGGACTACCGCAGGTGGAAGAAGAATGTGCACTCTGTGGGCTACAAGTTGTGTCTGCCACCAATCTGTAAATGAAAAAGAAAATATTTTATTTATTTAATCAATTACTCGAACTATTTAGAACGAAAATAATATTTTAAATACTAATGTTATTATTAATATGATGATGTGAGTGAAAGTAAATCGGATATTTTATAAAGATTATAGATGCAAAGAATCTGCCGCAAATTGGACAATTTATGTTTACTTCGAAGATAATCCCACATTCTGGTGGGTTATGTAGAGCCACGCGAGTGGAGCGTTTTCAACTACAAATGGTTGATGCGATAAGGTCGAGGCTTTATTTAGTTGTAATGGAATTAATCCACGGCCCGACGAGATTGCGTGAAGAGTAAAATATGTACAGGACGGACAGAGTATGCATGAGTGCAAGAGAGTAGGAGAGAGAGAGAGAGAGAGTGAGATGAGAAAGGAGGAAGAAACAAAGAAGCGAGATGGATGAGGATAATAAAACAGACGAAGGTAGGTGGGCACACCACACCACGACCTGGAGGTCCGACGTGTTATGTGACAAAACAACCAGAACGAATTGATCAAGATTAAGTTCCGTGTTTTTAATTGTTCACTCGACCAAAATTTTTGATGAAATATTGCGGCCCGAACCTCGTGACCAACAACCAAGGGCCCGAAAACATGCCTATCTCTCTCTCTCTCTTCACTTTTCCTGTTGTCCTCTCTCGTTCCCTTCGCCTTCTTCTTCGACCGCATCGGTTTCCAGCCGATCGGAGCGGAGATCAGCATTTTGGGTGGTCAAAAATTCATTAGAAATTAATCACAAACGATTGAGTTCCCCCCAACGTGTTTTATCCTCTTTTTCGTCGAGTTTTCAGTTACAGCGGAGACCATCTCTCGCCCCCTCCCGTCCTTAATAAGACGACGCACAATAAAACGCGAAGCCGTAAAAGCGCCATCAAAACTTGGTAACAACTCGGCATAAATTTTAAAACCGAACCGAAGCCCTGCAGGAGGGAAGAATCCCACCTTCCTTATCACTGCAGCGTATCTAACATAACAGAAAACAAAAGCAAAACCGCAACATTATCCACAAATCCGTTCCTAACTAACTAAGTAAATAGTTTTGTTTACTATTCGCTAAGTGCGGTAGCTAAGCAACACATATGATGACGATAAGCCGATTAGGCTGGAGCAGTTGACATAATTATACCTGGCCATCAACACTACTGATCGATGGGCTTCAGTCCAATTGTTAATCGATTCGAATTCAGATTGTTCTTGATATTTCGAAAGAGGAAAAATCTTTCGTCGCTTCGCGGCTTAAAATACACCTTCGAGTGACATGATGCACGTCACTTGGCCTGTCACTCGGCTTGGACAGGGAGAAGATGAAGAACAAGAAGATTTTAAAAGAAGATGAAACATTCACCGTTTCCGTTGCTCCAAAGAGAGATGGTAACAAAGGCGGGATTTGCATCGACTCCCTCCTTACGGTTTTCTAACACCCGCACCAAAGGCTTTCCAAGAAACCCATGCGCTTTGTCTCCCGTCCAATTTATTACGAACACCATTTTCATTTCTTATTTATTTTCACATTTATATGTCTACTTCCCAACGGCCTGAGCCATGCCAGAATTCTGTAGGCTTGTCATTTTCGGAGACTGAAACAAATGACACGTCGCCCAAGTCATCTATTCACGTTCAGTCCGGACCACCTCACGCTTTTTCTTCATCTCATAAAAAAAATACACAAAAATACACCATAACATCAAAACCTATAATCTGCTCGAATGCTATAAAATAACAATACATGCATTTTCTTAGACACATTTGTAAATAATGTTCCAAATATTCAGAATGAAATTAGTAATCGAATACGCCTATAAAAGATGATGTATCAGTAGGTAATAAAATAACTATAAGTTATTAATTTTAAGGCAAGTATTTATTGAAAATTATTAGAATAGTAATAACTTCATCAAAATCGGTAATATCAGATTTATTAAATGCAAAAAAAAATAGGCATAAGGTGTAGAAATTAAAATATTATTTGCTTGAAATGTTGCAGAATAAAATGAAACGAGAAACACTGAGAGCAAATGGGAAATTTAAAGATAATTAGAGTGGAATCGCTAGTTATAAATAGACGCTATGCGTTTGAAAGGCAGAAAACGGCAGAAGAGAATAAATAAAGTAAAAATGAGGTCGTTTTTGGTGAAACATGTTGAGCCGGGCTGGCTGGCTGTGGCACAGGTTTTAGCTGTGAAAACAACAAGTGTCAACTGTATATAAGTTAATGGTGGTGGTTAACGATGAAGAGAAGGATGAGGAGGAGGAGGCCGGGAACGAAAGGAGTCCCGACAAAGACGGAGGGCGACTTTCCTTTACATTTGGTCCACACATGTTGGCTGGTAGCTCTCCTCATCGTCGAACTTCATCATCATCATCATCATCTGAAGCCGATGAGTGAACAAACGCTGGCCGAGGCATTCTTTGTTTTCTTGGTCTAGTTTTTAAGATTAGGAAGTTCGTTTAGTTAAACAAACAGAAAAACATTATTATGCCTTTCCATCACTGACAGATATATCACTTGGCTCGCTTCTTTTAACTCTTTTTTTTTGTCCTGTCTCTCTCTCTCTCTCCTGGATTACTTTTTAAATACTTCACATTGCAGCTTTATTTATACAACACCGTCGGCCCCAGAATCCAAACAAATAAATTTCCAGTCCATAATGATGACGATCAAAATGTATCTTTAAACGCTGCATTTATTGTTAAAAAACATTTCGAAAATTGATCTTGTGTTCCGGAAAATACACTGAATTTGTTCAGTATTTAATTTTGGCACTGGTCCCTACTAATTTAACACAATAATTGTGCGTGCATCACAAACAAACAAATAAATTTATAATTACCCGTAATTAGTGCACAATTTGCAAGAATTGATCGGAATTAAACTAAATCAACATTCCGGAATTCGATTACAATTCGCACATTTAATTAATGACTATGTAAAACATCATCATTTATTATATATATTCACAAACGATAATCAGACCAAATACTCAAATATTAATTATATTCATGATAAACTTTAAAACAAATTGTTACTTTAAGAAATGATACATGTTATGACATTTATGAAGTTTCAGTAATATGAATTAAATAATTTTGATAGTTTCATTGTTTAATAAAATAGAGAGAATTTGTATAAAAAAAGGAAATAAACTGTCAAGTGTCAAATGGGGGGAAAGGGGAACGAGTAGCGTTTGTTAACGTACAGTGTATGAAGCGGGGAAAGAAAAAGGAAACAGTATTTATAGTTTTAAAGCTGTTAGTTTTGCCGTGGAACGAGTGTTTGGGTTGTAGGTAAATAGCCTTGTCGTTTGAGGGAATCTTTGAAATAATATAAATACAGGAGAAGAGGAGAGTAAAAATTTCCCCAGGCAGGTTTATATTTACTCATCCATTTCAGTTAAATACTATTTTACTACCAGGCTGCGAACAGCTTGACAGGGTATATTGGAAGGAAGACGGAGCAAAATGAATCTCTCGGTTTTCTTTCTCGTGCTCGAAACTCTCGAATGTGTATGTATGTGTGTAACGTACTTCGTCGTTAACTGCTCGATGTTTCATCTCCAGTTTTAAGATTATAATGGGCCTCTAAACAATGAAATCAAAACTTCGCGCCTGGAGTTAAACACGAACCATGGGATATAAATCACGTCGCCGGTTGCCAAAGTACGTGGATATCTGGCTGTGTTTTCCGTTTGCAGAATAATATCAGAAACGAGTAGGTGTGTGTTTAATTAACGCCTTATCGCCGTTGCGCGATCGCAAGCGGAATTCTTATCCGTCCTCTCGTTGGGATTCTCGTGTTTCCTCCTCCTATGGATCCAACGTTGGACGAAGGATGGCTGTTTGGAGAGTACAGGAAGAGAGTACGAGACGAACGGAGATGGAGCTATCTCACGTTGCGTGTGTATAAATTAAACGAGAGTGTGAATATTGCACATATCTGGCGTGCCTGGACTCCCTTCAGTACATGAGCTAGTCGTGTCTTTCCGTTTGACACACATCCATTAGTTAAGTTAATGGATGTTCGGCCGGAGATATAAATTGTTCGGTTCCCAGATTAAAATTTGATAAAACTCCGAAAACTGTTGTAGATACAAGATAGTAGCCATCAATGATCACGATACATAAATTCTCCTCGCTTCAAACAAACACACCAAAACAGAAAAACAAACAACGAAATAAAGAAGATGAAATCGTGGACAAGTGGGAAAAGGCTAGGGAGAATCATTCGAACGTGTGCATGAGAGAGACATTTGTTATATACCTTGTCTTCTTTTTCATTCATCTCACCTCGTTTATTCTCAGGCACGCACGTAAAACGCGACAAGAAATAAACTGAATCCATACAAAAGGAACCTGCCTTTCAATTTGTACTCGTTTCGACCATGTCGCCGGTTTCATTTCTTAGGTTAGCTGTCAGATTAATCAGCTGTTTACGCTTGACGCCATCTTGTTGATATTCGAAATGCCACCATATTTAGTTCTTCTTAATTGTTCAATTGCTCATTAAGATTTCTTTATACAGTGCTGTGCAATAATTTCTTTCAATTTCACAAATGTCATTACAATACGTATCAATATAAATTGTCATTTATGAATTAAAACTTAACAAGTACTTGTTTCTGCAATTATACAAATTGCCATTTTTCTTTTGCATTTTTCACATAATTGAAATGTATAATTTATAATGATGATAATTATAAATAAACGTTTTCAGTTATAACTGCGCGAATATAAATATAAAACAGAAAGTGATGTAAATGTCATAGATAATGATGCGAAGATGTTATGTATTGGAAGGAATAAATGAATATTGGACACACAAAATGTGTGTTTCTTTGGGAGGCGTTAGATTGAGAGACGAAAGAGAAGTAGAGAAAAAAAGATACCACACACACACACACTACGAATGATGTGGAGCCCAAGAGCAGCAATAAGATGAAAAAGCGAGGAGGCGAGTGATTAATAATTTATTTCAATCCTCGATTCCACTCAACGCAAACACATCCATTCCACTTGTAAGCTAAATAAATTAATCGGATTACGAGCTACATTATCACATCTTTACTAAAATGTAAAAAGGAATGTACTAACGCGTTTTAAGTATCGAAAGTAATCCAAATTTGTGAAGCTCAATTATGAAAATTTATTATTTTGAAGTCTAAAGTTAAGATTGATTTTATTAAATAGCGTGCAAACTAATAAATTCTCAAATTGTAGTGTTTTTTAAGTTAATTATTAATAATTGTTTACTGAACTCTAACATGACGTGTTGTTTCAGAAAAAAGTAAGTGTATTCATTGTTTTAGAACATCTAAAATGCTATGTAAAATTTAAATTTATTGTTTCAAATGAAATTATTTATTTTGTTAAGTTATGAAATCTTTGTACGATAAAAATCAAAGTTTATTGTTTCAAAGTTGAAAGTGAATGCTTATTTAATTGAATTAGAAAATCCAAAATGCTATGTAGACTAATAAAGTCACAATTTATTGTTTCAACGTCGCAACCGGAATGTCTTTTGAAAGCGAATATTTTGTGGTATAGTTTAGTATTTTTCTTGGAAACTATGGGCTAAGCCCTCATCATTCATCATCGACGCAAATTCCGAAAATTCTCTTCTCTTTTTTGTTTGTTCTAGTTCGTCATGTATCCTTTTTTTGCCGTTACTGTAATGTATGTGTGTTTCGTTTCATCCATAAATTTTCGAATTTTGCTCCGTGTCCGATTTTGTGACATATGCAAAGCGGCCGGGTCAAAACCCAAAAAACCTTTCTGCTTCTTCCAAACCTCCTCCACCTTCTCTTTTTCATCGTCCTCTTTCCATGTTTCGGGCGGCAGCCGCCGTCGGAACAGAAACAAACGGCGTAGACTCAACACTCGAGGAGTGCCCAAAGGAAAGAGAGAAAAATAAAACAACGCGAATTGAAAGAGGAAAAGTAAATAACAAAGAGCGTTTGGTCAGCACAACAAAAAAAAGAAAGAAACAAAGAAAGAACTGTAATTTTCAAACAACTCGCAATAAATTATATGGGCAAATTACGTAGGCAGAGCTACGGAAATCATTTCAGTTCGTCTTTCGGTTTATTTGGCCGTAAATTACTTTTAATCGTTGCAGCCATTTTATACTTTGGTGAAATTAATAAATTTCAGGAGAACCACAAAAAAAATATATATTTAAGTAAATATATGTACAAATGTCCGAAAAGAGACGAGCCATAAATTTCCGATTAGATTGCCTAAACTCGAAGACTTGCCAGAGATGAAGACGGAGAACGAAACGGAGAAAAAAAAACATTTCGAAGGAGAAAAAAAATATATATATGAGAGGAATACGAGGAGAAGCAGACGAAGAAAATAAGAAACGGTACAAAAATATATATTACATAATTTATAGGCGCTTTCAGAATTAATTTTATTGTTTGTGAAAAACAAATCTGTCGATTCATAAATTTTCTAAATAGTAATAATAAATAAAATAATTTCTACATTTTCATCAAATTAATTGACATCTAAGAGCAATATAAAAAAGCAAAACAAAAATAACTAAAATCTTAAATTATTATTACTATTTGGATTTATTAATTTATAAGTAAAAGCAAATTGGTGTAATTGCTTTCACCTTTCTTTATACGAATCTTTAAAAAAGAGTTTATTAACAATTAGTAACTGTTTATAATAGATAACTCTCATGTGAATCACTTGAAAATACTGAGTTTGTAACTCGTTATAATATTAGAGATGCTTATAATCACTTCAGCCGCAAATTAATTCAATTAAATTTAACATAATAAAACAAGAATTTAAAAGAATTTGTATGCGTTTTCTATATATTTAATCATTTTATTGAAAATTTAATTATAATTCTTTTGAGTATGTTTACATATTTACCACAAACAAATTAAAGATTCATAATAAAATGTTTGAATAGAAATATTCGTCTCACATATTTAATTTCAAATTGATATGTTTCATAATTCCGGAGAAGCGAGCAATCAATTTAGATATATAAATAAAATATATGAAAGGCTTTTAATCGATTACAACCGAAGGAATATAAATATATTACTTTTTTTTTGTTCTTGTATCCTCGTTCTGAAGATTAGCTTCGCGATAAGGAAGAACATACATTAATCTGGTGTTCCTTCTGCTTGTACCTTTTTTCTTCCTTCACGTTTGTTGCTGCTGCTTCTGAACAGCACGATATGAATTATGATGTTTTAAGAGACACGAAATCGATTCAGGGCGGGAGGGGGCGAAGTGCTTGAAGAGTGTGAAAGGAAGATGAGGAACAACAGAGGGAAAAAAGGTTGTTTCCTATTATGTCAAGGATGGTACACATTGTTCGGGCCACCGTCGTTCAAAGATGTTGTCTTCACGGTAGCCTCGTTTAGTGTCTCCATAAGTTTGCGCCCCCATTGTGTTTCCCGGCATGCCCATCGCCCGAGGGACAAAGCCGTATCCTCCCTGGGTCCCAAAATCCTGGACACAGACACGAAGGAGGCGGAGACGCGACTTCCTCCTCACATCCTGTGAGAATCTCTCTTCCCAACTCATTATGTTCTTTCTCTCTCCACGCATTATGCTTCACGTCAATAGAACTTTACTACTTCTGACATTTACGTAACATAGACTGCTTCTGTTTCTAATTACATGATACGATTAACATTGCACTTGAAATAAAGACAAAATTGAAATTCCAAATTTGTCTTACATTTATCCGTACAATGTCCAACGGTTTGAGACACATTTCCTAATAAGAAGTAAATTTTTGATTTTTACCTTATATAGGGTAGAACTTATTTTTGTTGGTAATTGATATAAAATGATAACTGAAATTGTAATATCGTAACATTTTGCATAGGCTAGAGCAGATTTGAGTTATTTCGAATTGAATAACGTTCAATCTTAAGATAGATCGAAGTGGGGATGTTTGTACTTATTTTGGGTGCATTCCAATTGTCGTTTTTCATCTCTTCGTGTTTCTTTTCGCAAGTTTTCCCCTTTGTTCGATCCCATTTCATCGAGCATACGGCATTTTAAGAGCGCACCGTTAATTTTTAATGGCTTTCGCGAATCAAATTTTCCTCCGCCCGCACTAATTTTGGATCCGGTTACCAAACGGCGGTGCGTTTTATTTCCAGCCCGGATCCCCGTCAATAGAAAACAATTCCGGCTATTTCTATATCTCTTCTATTTCCTTTCAACTTGTCAACCCTTTTTAGAAAAATGCAATTTTCTAACGTACTCCGAAATTTAAATCGGTATTTCGTAGTATGTCTTGATATAATTTGTGTTTGTCGAAAAGGTTTAAAAATTTTGTGAAGCGAAAAAATAAGGAGCAAGATAAAATAAAATAAAGATGATGATGTTAAAAAGGGGGTCGAGAAAACAGGCTCGGAGACGTTATTTTAATGTATGTTGAAGGAGAGATTTTTAACTGCGTCCCTCACGGGACGTGCGTTCCTTTCGGTCCGAGGGAATGTGACAAGCAAGAAGCGGAGGAAAACATCTTTGTGGACAAAGTGGATAAAATGTAAAGGCGAAGAGAATAAAAAAATGTGTAAAGACCACGAAAGAGGTCCAAGAAGTGGGACTACTCACCGATCTCTATCTGCATCTGGGGTCGATTCCGTCCGCGCCCTTTTCACCTGAAACACACGTAACAATGCACACAAATATTAGTCGAATCCAATGAAATATTACTTAATATATAATACACAATCAATGATATAATTTCATATACATTAACTATACATCCCTGACTTCAACCTGACATTGCAATATAAATAAAAAACAAAATATTTAGTTAATATTATTCTAATAATTAAGTTTTTTTTTCTCTAAAATATTCAAATAGAAAACTTTTTCATAAAACAAATGAATTAATCTATAATAACTACCTAAATAAATGTAATTTTTACATGTTATAAATGAATGCAATTAATTGCAACTAAATCTTTTCCATATTATAAAGTTTAATTTAATGAATTATTAAGTTCTTATTTCACGCGATAAAAAGGGTTTCCGTCTTACTCGAGCATAGATATCTTCGAATTTCTTCCACTAAAATTACGAATTTCTCCTATTCAAATTAAAATTATATAATGTTATCAATCAAAATATCAACCGAAATTAAAATCTAATTTAATAAAAAAAAACATTTTAATTATTACATGTTTCGAATTAAGGCAATAGTATTTTTTATCTAAGTTGTCTTGACTAATTGATTGTTTTAATTGTTCTATAAGTTACGCTCAAATGTTTTTTAGTTTATTAATATTATATAATTAAATAAGGTTGGCAAATAATGGAACTATAAGCATTTTAAATAAAATTAATAACTTAAAACATCTTTAATTGGACAAGTGAAAGAATTATAAAAAAAAACCGTAGTAGTCTTGTGAATAAGAAAATAAAAGTTCAAACAAATGAGGATTAGCAAAAAATGGATTGCAAAGATTTGACTTCTCGATTCGTAGAAGACATAATTCATCTTATATTGATTGATAAATGACTAATTACAATAATAAATTAACGCAATTAATTTCATTTGAAAAATATTCATTCAGCGTCATGTTCATATTAATAAGGAAATCAATTAATTTAATTTAATTAAGAAAAACTAATTAGACTCGCATTTAAATTTAATTAGGAATATTATTATTTAGGAGTATTTATATTTCAAGTGTAATTTATAAAGAAAACTTTAACAAAAACATAGATGCGAAGTATAATTAAAAATAATTAAATTTCATTGGTATGATTTAATTAATTGGAACAAGTGTATGCAAAACTTTATAATTTAGTATCAATTGAAAACCGAAGAGATAAAGATGACGGCAATGCTGTTAACAATTTTCTGGTTAATTTACTTATGCAATTAAAAGAAACTGTTTTGATTAAGTTCTCATAATCACGAGAGATTTAAGATTATTACTAATAGATTTTCGTGATATCTACCTTTGGTTCGCACATCTTGTCTATCATTGTGCATCTTGCGTTATTGTTGGAATTCAAGTAATTGTACGGCATTAAAGTCACCATTTTTTGGCACCCGTCGGCACCCACAACTTCTGGTCCACTGTGGCTCGCCAAAGCGAGACTACCGATCGCACGGATTTCGTGAAAATCTAGTATATATTTGTACGTACAGAACAAAACACGAGAAGGATTCGTTACAAAACACTCCTAACTTGTAAGTTGAAAACTTAACAAAATAAAACAAAAACTGTACACGCGCAGGTTACGCAACGCAAGTTCCTTGTTGTTTCTACGCTTTTTTTATGCAATATATATGTATATAAAGTTAAGTTTGTTTATTTTTTTTACAATATATCAATTCTGTCAGAAGAAAATCCAAAATTCACGCATTTCACTTGTTTTTCAGCTGTCACTTGGATTGGTTATTTCGCGAACTTTCGTTGTTTGTTGTTGTTATGGTTATTGAAAAAAAACGAGATGTTGCAAGTGCGAGAGTTGGCGTGCGACTGGAGAGCTTCCAGGGAACGGGACCTAGGCTCGAGGCCGGGGGACGACGATGCGCCCCCTGGCGTCCGGCGCCGACAATCTAGGACGAGGGGACCCCGCGCACTCGTCCTTCCAAGGACCAATGATACAGTTTGCTCTTAAAAGGTAGGACGAACTGTGTCTGCCCAATACAATTCCTCTTCATTTGTTATCCATTAGTGCCCTTTCGCCTGAGCGGCACACGAGAGCGATTTGACGAAAGAGAAATTTTCTTATTTTACTTCACTTTACTATAACTGATACTTAATATTTTACAATAGTTAATTTATTTCGAGAACTTATAGATATTTGCTAAAATAAGTTCTATTAATAAATGGATATAATAAAGATTGTTCAAAAATAATTGACAATAAAATATTGAGTTTGTAATAAAAATTTATTAGTTGAAGTGTGATTGTTATTTAAGTATAATATTTTAATAATCAATAGCCCTTTGTATCGGTTGATTTTTTTTACGACTGATGAAATAAGCATTATTTTTTTTAATAAATATATTTTATTTCCTTTCAACTCGACTTATTCTAAAAGTTTTTTTTATTTTGAGTTCAATTTAAAATTGATTAAATGAATAATAAAACTATAGTTCAAGAAGATTTCATGTTACTCTCAAAAAATAAAAAATGAAAATGAAACATTTGCCAAATATCAATGTCAGAATATTTCAAAAAGAATAATGAATGTAATTTTTGTATATTTGTGACAATTTGAAAAATTGGAATTACGCCAAACCGTATAATATGTTCTTTATGAAAAGTCCGTATGAAAATTGATTGAAAATGATGATTGTTTTTTTTTATTCTTTTTCTAATGTTGAAACATTTATTTATTGTTTTATAAACAAATTTTTGATAATTAATAATATATAATATTTCTTGGTATAATAGTTTAAACCGTTTAAATTCAATTACATTTAATATTTGTACACGTTTTAGATTCTCATCCGGAATATTTGATGTGAAATTTTAGAATCACCACTTTGCTTGGGTATATTTACGCATAGAGTGTGTAGCATATGCAATATCGATTAATTTTTTTTCTCTCCCCGGATTGAGTCATTAGCTTGTGCGATAGGAGGTTATGATAATTGGACGGTTTGGAAAATGTGATGAATGATGATGAGGTTGTTAATGATTGATCCACCCCTTCCCAAGGGAACACTCGTCGCCGAACTCTCTGGATAAATGAGCGAAGTGCTCGTCCGTACTAAAACGAGAGAGAGAGAGACGGATGTACGACTAATTGAATGAAAGAGAGAGAGAGAGAGATAAATAGATATAGAGAATCGATGGAAAACAAAACATAATGTGAAACAACAACGGCATTCTATCGCTGCCAGCCAACGTTCGTTCGTTATTTATGGTATTCGAAATTCAGAGAAATCTTCTCAAATGTGTTTATTAAATTAATCACTCAATTATAGAAACGCACACAGCTTAATTAATGGGATTGAGAGAGATAGTTGGGGAAAAAAGGAAAAGTCACTATTTTTTTTTAAATAGTGAGTTGTAAATCAAATCACAAACTTGATTTGGCGTTTTTATTATCTTTCCAATAGCTTTAATTTATAACTGTATAAAATGAATTGAATAATTTTCATTCGTGACTAAAATCGTTTTAATATTATTGTTCAAACAATGATTTTTCAAGATATTCCATTTGGTGCAATAACAACTCGACTCAATCAGTCGAAATAGCTATATTTAGCTGCGTTGTATTTAGTGCAGGAAATAATCTAGCGCGTAAAGTTCGCGTTTCATTATTTTTAAGATTAATTATTTTTCTCGATGAAATTGGATTTTTTATTGTAACTTATTTTCTTGGCTTGAAATTTGTTGCATTCATTGTTCATATAATATTACCTCACACATCTAACTAAGAACTTTGATTAACAATAATAAGTTGTTAAGTTGGACACTACTTGCGGAAAATGATTAAAATCTTGTTATTTTTCACACGAGAAAATCGTGTGTATTAACTGAATAGAAAAGAAGGGTTTGTCAAATAAAGTTGACAAATATTCCATTAGATTTTATTGCTCGTCTCTGCTCCACACTCTGGTGTTTTCTCGATGCTTATCTGATGATGAGGGGGGTAGCGTTTCGCTTCCGGTACCGGATTCTATTATTGAGTTTGGAACTTGTCGGGCCGCGATAAAAATCTGGTAACAAATCGGACTAGTTTCGGGCCAAAAAATCCAACCCGAAACGATATTTAAAACAGCTGCTTGCTCTAACATTCAACTTCTTTTTTTTTTCTCTCGTTCATCTGCACCATCACTAAATTCTTTCCTGTTTTCTATTCCAATTCCTGTTTTGGAAAAGGTAATCTATATTTATGTGTGTATGAAATTGCACGAAAATTTACGACAGGTAGGGTAGTAGTAGGCTGGGGCGTCGTCGTCGTCGCAGTTTACGATCTGTTTTGGAGAAGGCAAAATACGTATCGGGTTTCATCTTCCGTAAATACGCGTTTTTAACGCCCTCCTTAATTATTATTTTATTGCTGCCTGGCAACCAAAACGTCAAAGAACAAAAAAGCATTTCCACTTTCGTTTTGTTTTGCTTTTTTTTCGCCTATATTCATGTGTTTCCTTCTAATAGTCCTTCAATTTTGGAGTTAGAAATTACTTCGATTTTATATATAATATAAGACAAAAATAATTTTGTCGGTTTGTACTTTTATATTTATAAAAAAGGATAAATTTTACAATTGGGAAAGGAAATGACATGAATTTGACATTGTATGACAGATGTCAATTTTTGTTAAATTTGCTAAACTAATAATTAAAAGCATATTTATTTTAATTATTATGATAATTACTCATGATAAAACTATAAAAATCAATAGAAAATTGGCTTTCCCGGAAAGTTCTTGATGATTTAACCTAAAAGTTGAATTTCAATTTATAAAAAACTTTGCCTATATTCGTGCATTTCTCAACGTTTTCAATCTAATTGATCCAATTTCAATTTTGGATTTAGAAATTACTTCGATTTTATAAACAATATAAGACAAAATTTAATTTTGTCGGTTTATACTTTTTAATTTATAAACACAGAATAAATTTTACCATTCGGAAAGGAATTGACATGAATTTGATATTATATGACAGATGTCAATTTTTGTTACTATTTGCTAAACAATATAAGCATATTAAAAGCATATTTATTTAAATTGTTATGATAATTACTGATGATAAAACTAGAATAAAAACAATAGAAAAATGGGTTTTTCTAAAAGTTCTTGCTGATTTAACCTAAAAGGTGACATTTCAATTTATAAAAAAGTTTGTTTCGGATCAAATTTATGTGAGTTTTCTGATATGAATAAAAAACAAAGTGCATTTTAGACTTTGATACTTTTCTATTACTGAAATGCCACTAAAGCAATAACTTTGATAATTTTATGATATGAAATGACAGATGTCAATTTTTGTTACGATTTGCTAAATTAATAATTAAAAGTATATTCATTTTTATTATTATGATAATTACTGATGATGAAACTAGAATAAAATAAATAGGAAATTGGGTTATCCGGAAAGTTCTTGCCGACTTAAGGTGACATTTCAATTTATAAAAAACGTTTGGTTATGATCAAATTTATGTGAGTTTAGTGGTATGAATAAAAAAAATAAAGTGCATTTTAGACTTTGATACTTTTCTATTACTGAAATGCCACTAAAGCAATAACTTTGATAATTTCATGACATGAATTTGACATGAAATGACAGATGTCAATTTTTGTTAAGATTTGCTAACTTAAGAATTAAAGGCAAATTTATTTTAATTATTATAAAAATTACTAATGATAAAGCTAGAATAAAATCAATAGACAATTGGGTTATCCGGATAGTTCTTGCCGATTTAAGGTGACATCTCAATTTATAAAAAAGTTTGGTTAGGATCAAATTTGTGTCAGTTTAGTGGTATGAATAAAAAAAAACAAAGTGCATTTTAGACTTTGATACTTTTATATTGCTGCCACTAAAGCAATAACTTACATAATTTTATATCTTGTGTTTTAAGCCTGAAACACCAAACGGAATATCTGTTAATTATTAGATCAAATATTGATATCGTATAAAGGTTTAGATTTTCAATTTTAATAAAAAATCATTACAAACTTTCAGGACTTTCCAAGTTTGAATTGATTATAAATATATAAGTAGTAAATATATAAATTTATCAAATCTACCCATGACTTTCTTTAACGTTTTATTAACTTTTTAGTAGCTTATGAGATTTATTAAAAAAATAATTATTTTTCTTCATGTTTGCGTTGAATATCTTATTTTGTTTAACAAAATTTGTCGTAAAATTTAATTAAAAATTAATATCATATTATATTTAATTTAATGTATTTTTGTTATTATATGTTTTTTGTGCAATGTACAACTTTCGTTGTGAATCGTATCTTATTGTTAATTCATACTGTCAATAATGCTAATCGCGCGAAAACTGTTTACAAATAATAATTATCTTATTATTGTTGAATAGTGTTTATTGTTTAGACTGTGTTTCCGTTGCTCGTTTGCAGTGGGTTTTGTTAATTGTTTCGCAGATAAATCTGAACTGCGACGCGAATAAATAAATATTGCGTTTCCTTGTAAAATAGGGCCGTTATGGGGGGGTAATGCAATACCAAGCGTTCGATAAACGAGAAAGTCTTTTATTTGTTGTTTATTGCGCACTGATGGCGCCTTTCCTTTATCATTTCATAATTCTCTAAACACCGACTGCAGATATATTTCCTCTCAGCAATATATAATTAATTACATAATGTTTTAACTTTACTAAAAGACAAGAAAAAAGATAATTATTAATTGATTTATTGGGTCGGAAAGAAATCGTTAAGAATCTCGATATTTTGACACATTTTTTAAACAAATTATTACTAGTGATGAAAAAATGATCA